CAGCAGTAGGACATATATAGGCTGTACCTTTTCTTTACTTTATATTACATTTCAGAAGCGAAGCACGAAGATAGGTTAAGGAAAATTGAAAGTAAAAATTTAAGCAATCCGCTAACACATGCACAAACAGAAAAGCTGTCAGAAGCTAGTCCTAATACAAAAGAAAATGTAGCAAATGAACTCTTTCCTAAAGGAAAACCCTTTATTTCCGATCCAAAAGATATCTGTTGTGACAAACGAATTTCATTTTATTCGGCTTACAGTGCTAGCAGCGTTGTTTCTCCCCATCTTTACAAAATGAGTTCGAGTCCTCAACTTAATAATAAACGTATTTCTTACACTATAAATGTGACTAGTAATAGCATGAAACATTTAAATGGTAATAATATTATTAATCAAAACGATCCAAACCAAGAAAGCAAATGCATTTCACATATTCAGACTTTGATAACTTTGCGAAACGAAAACGAAATAAAACAATGGTTATTAGACCTTATTAAAAATATTAAAGATTGATATAAACTTAATGATTTTTATTGTATTGTTTTGAGCCTTCTGTCCATAAGATAATGTCGTTTTAAACTGCCTTCCGCGGGAGCGAATCTTCGAAATGAGTACTTTTCTATATTACGTAGTACTATTATTTATTCTGTGCCTATAATAAAGGTTGCTTGGAAGGTTGATGGAGAGCCTTGAACGCCTAAGGTCACCTCGTGGGGCACATTTTTAAGTAGGTTACCCTAACCTAATGTCATAGAATTTCTAGTTATCGTGAAAATCCCGAACAGGATCTCCATCTTTCAAGCCTTTTACTCCTTTGCCATGAAACGTATATTTCCCCTTACGATGCATAGTTAGTAATAAATATATAATTGACCAAACTTTCCATTTGGATAAGTCAAGAATTCGTGATATTGCTTTGATGCTTGTTGTGGGTTCATTTTCAAATGCTTGTAAAATAAGCTCCTCTTCGTGAAGAGGTTGACCTGGATTATTCCAGGTTCCAAATATTGAACCCTTCCAGTTTCACCTTGGCGACGATACGTATTGTGGAATAATATTTTTTATATAGGAGAAGTGGCAAACGAGCAAACTACTCACCTGATGGAAAGTGATTACCGCCGTCCATGAACAACTGCAACACCAGGGGAATTGCAAATGCGTTGCCGGCCTTTTAAAAAGAGTAGGCTCTTTTCTTGAAGGTCCCTAAGTTTTATCGGTCCGAAAAAATCTCTGGTCGTAGTCGATTCCACAAGGAATTTGTGCGAGGAAGAAAACTTTTTTAAATCGCACAGTGGTGGACCACCAGTCATCCAGATGGTGTGGATGGTATCGCGAGTTTTGTCGCGATGTGCGATGGTGAAATCGTGCGGCTGGAATTAGTCCGAACATTTCTTCAGAGTATTCCTCGTGGTAAATGCGATAAAATACACAAAGAGATACAGTCTATTCGCAGTGCTAGTGGGTCAAGCCGATCGGAAAGAGTTCGGTTGCCGACGGTTCGAACAGCTCTGCGGATCTAATCTTGATGCAATCAAATGGAAGGAGCTGGCACTGTGGAGCCCCAGCCCATAGATGGGAACAGTTTTCCATGTGCGGCCAAACCTGCGCCTTGTAAAGTTGCAAGTGGTGTGCAAGCATGAAATAATGTCCCGTTCTGCTAAGCATGCCAAGCTTTTTAGAGGCCAATTCGGCCTTCTCTTCCAAGTGACCACGAAACTACACGTCACTGATTTGCTGACACCGAGGATTCAAATATTGGTTGAGGCACCGAGGGGAGCTCCCTTAAACTGAGGAGATATGACAAAGGGGTTTTTTGTAGCGGTAAACTTTGTGTCTTCACGTGATTAAGCTGGACTAGATTTAGTCGCCCCCAGTCCGAGACTTTAGTCAACAATGTCTTGACTTCAGACATAAGTTTGCTCCAGTAATCGGCAATGTTTTCCCGAGAAATATCGGCACGGCCGGTGTATAAAACATAACTCGTGCTGTCGTCTGCATAGCAATGAATATTACCGGTTTGTAACATATCAAAGATATGAAGATGAAACTGCGTTGGTAATAGCCATAGAATAATAACACCTAGAACGATAGTCCCCTACAAAGCGGACGTTCTTAAGTGAGGCAAAAACAAAATCTATGTGTGCGTAAGCCACTTGTGTTTACGCTAGACGAAACGCACTCAAGTGAAAAAATAATTTTGCCAATACATTAAATTTTCCCCAAAAAGTAGGGAAGTTGAAACTATATTGGACTAATAGTTACGACGTAACGTATGACTGATACAAATGTGAAAATAAGTTTTTTGAATTCTGTTATCGAAGTGTAGCCCGCCAAATTCAAAATATTCTTGAATAGCGCATTTGCCTCTCTAGCCAAGTGAGATTTTTATGATCCATCGAAATGTGATTGCATCATATTTTTCTTTGTTACTGTATAGGTTATAATAAATGTATACGTTATAATTATATGACTAATGCAAGTTCGATATACACACCCGCCCGATACCCGACACATGACTGTTCGACGAACGATTGATCGAATTCAGTATATATTTTTCAGTTTGTTTTTAACTATTTTTTTAAATAATTGTTGAGTAATGGTGTACCGCACCTCACTGCATGCATGATGTAAGCTACATTACGAAAAACACAAGATCATTTTAATTTTGGCAGGTTTCACACAGTAGATGCATTTCAGCTTAAAGTGATTGGGAAAAATTTATTAGAAAAACACAAATAAAAATTAAAATCATTTATTTCAGTAGCCTTGTAACTGCAACTGTTTCCTGAATAACTGACGCTTTGATGATACGAATCGTAAAGTATTTTCTTTTTTTGGATTCATAGAACAGTCTAATTCTTAAGTAGCGCTCGACAATAAGTCTCATCAAATTCGTGTCATGGAAGTGGGAGTTAACGTGTTCTATAGAAAATATACGAGTTCCTCCTATGAATCTTCTCATAATTAGAAGTGTGATTTCTTTTTCGGAAATATTGCCTGGATTTTCTTTTAGATAACGTCTCAGAACAGTTTCAATAACACTACAAATATAATAAACTTCTTTTGAGGCGTAAACCAATCCACCTTTATCCCTCATACATACTAATTTATGGAACCAAAGTTTCTCTTTTGCAAGCATGTTATCAATGCAATATTTACATTTTACTCGGGTTGTGAGATGTCTAGCTACATTTCCAGCTATATAGCCAACAATGTGGTTTCTGCAGTTAGGATCATCGCTACCCGATGAAATTTCGAATCCGACATCATTTGGAATCGGTGTTTTCAATAAGTGTTCTGTTAATTCTTTTTCTTCATCATCAAATCGTTCGGAAAATGAAGTATTATTGATGCAAGTTAAAGCAGATGAACATGTTAAAATAGGTATGTTTTCGAGTGGCACGCAGTTACCAGTTTCACTTACTTGCAGTTCCATGCGGCAGAGCAGTTTTCTGTAGCTACCCTTAAATTGTAGAGCGTTTGGATTGTCATTATGTCCGCTTTGCATTCTTATCAATCCAAAAAGTAGCTCGATATGGTCCTGGCTCAACCTGTAGATTGTAATATACTCCAGTTCTTTTGTATCTTCAACTAAGGTATTATATAAGTACTTAAGGCTCTCTATGCAAACTAACAATCCTTTAAAGCCAGGAGAGCACTTTACAGTAAGGGCCGATTGGAAGCTTTTGATTTTGAGATTTATTGAACTCTCTTTTTCATTGTATTTGCGCTTTCTAGTAGTTTTAATCTTTAAGTGAAGTATATATTTTTTGGTTTTCTCTAAAAAATCAAATATTTCCTTTTTATTAGAATTTGAAAGGGGATGGCAAAAACCATGTTGTGTTAACCTTCTCGTATTAAAAATGTCGAACAGGTCGTTGAAAATCATGATAAAATTTTCTGTGCCCTTACTATTCTTGAAATCGTCCAATTTCAAGACTTCGCGGCAAAATTTCAGTGCCACTGCTACACTTCTGCTAAGTAGTTGAACTGCTAACTTTATTTTCATAATAGAGTTTCTAAACTCGAGATGTTTACGCGTTAGTTTATTAGCAATGTGTAAACCTTCTTTTTCTTGAAAGTCATTTAATTTTGTTAAAAATTCCCAGTCCACTTTATTTTCATCTTGGTCTAGGAATACTTTTTTGTCTTCGAAATGATTCCGAACCAGTTTGATCATATGACTGGAATCTAAAAACACCGCTACCTCGTTATTAGCTGCTGGGTGTTTGAATGTAGTTTTCATATTCTCTACGTCCTTTAGTCGGCATCCTAATAATTCCATGGCTGATATATTTGTCGAATGTGCGTCAAATGTCAGAGCAACTACTTTTACGCCTACCTCTTCACATTTAGTCAGGCATATTTTTATCAGGTTAGCTTTTTGCCCCCCGGTAAGACCATGCACCAAAAAATATCCCAATGGGATCTTCCAGTGTTCATTCAAGCACACAAGAATAAAAGTATAAGCTTCCGTAGCCTTTGTTGTACAATCAGATGTACCTGTGCCAATGTCTACACGCCCGTGGCCTCCTTTTATATTTTGTGGTCGTATTGCCATTTCATCTGCCACTAAAGCACATATTAATTTCTTCTGTGTACATTGTAATACTTTCGATTTCAAAATATGAAATGCTTCATCTGTAAAACCAGGGGAACCATTTATGGTTTTATACCAGTTGTAAATAGTTTTCGGATGTGGGAGGCAAGTATTAAATGTTTTACGAACATAGATATAAGCTCGTGGCGAGTAAAAATGCAAGGTTAGACAGAATTTCCTAAATTCTGGAGTGTATTTAGGCATCGGTCGTTTTTTATCTTTACATATTTTTTTAGCTAAGCTACTGTATAAATCTGCTGCAAATACATTTTCCGACAAAATATTGGATATGTCATTATTAATATATCTTTTCTTCCGTAATTCTACTAAAATATTTTTAAGAGTGGCATTTCTTTTCTTTAAGCGTCGATTTTTTTGCTTCAGAGTCTTAATCTTTCTACTGTGTTTTTGTTGCAACAAGATCTTTTTTCTTAGTTGTCTCCGTAGTGAAGCCTTTTTTAGGTGAATCGAAAATAGAATCTAGTTCTGAAGATAAAGGTGTCATTGAAGCGCTTAGATTAACATTTTTGTACATCTCACAACCTGAGGCTTCCTGAAAAACATTTATACAAATTAATAAAGTAGTAAGTACGAATCTGCCCCACATACTGATTTACTGGTAGAGAATGCCATAAGGCATAAAGTCCACTGTTTATGCATCTTATTCGTGCAATAAAGAAAATATAAATAAAAATAAGCCAATAGCTACTCGTCAATCGACATAATAATTTACTGTTAGTTTAGTTCCTATATTATTATTATTTTACTACACAAAAGGTGGACTGAACGCTTATTGGCATTCCCTACCATTAATTTTATTTACATTATGTGACTATGATGATGACTATGACTTAATAAAATACTGCACTAGAAAAAATCGACTGGTATCGAGTGGGACTCGAACCCACGATCATTCACTAACCGGGCGACTGCTCTTCTTTTTCTCTTGTCATGAATTCGAGTTCTGCTCGATACCAGTCGATTTTTCTACTGCAGTATTTTCTTTTGAAAATAATGTCATTGTGAATGCTTAAAACCACAAATAAATTATGTGACTTGGCTTTGTGTTGATTTATTAAAAACTTACCGGCTGAGGTTGATTTTGCTCTTGACTTAAATCATCACTCTTCTCTTCCGTGCTAAAAACGGGTAGATCCTAGAACACAAAAATTAAACGTAAGAAAAAAAAATTAAAAAGCAATCCATATTAAAACAGTTTATAGGTATAGAGCGGAATTTTTTATACCTTAGTTGGAACTGCACCCTTGCGTAATCTACATAGGCCACCTTTAGTAATATACTTTACTTCATCCTCAAAATGTAAAGAACAAATTTTTGTATTTTTAGTGGGCTTCCAACTGCTATCATTTCGATTGCGTCTGATTTTTTCTGTCCAACGATCTGCAATGATCGGATCAGAAGGAAACCTAATACGAAAATGAAACATTCATTTATTATCAGACTATATAATAAATTTCCTTAAAATTTATCATCGATACTTTTTAAATAAAAACAATGCGTTGTATTTTATTCAAATTTATTGACGTATTTTACTTTTAATTAAACGACAAAATGTGGGAGAATTTTTTTCATACTTTGGCAACATTTCCATATAATATCATGTGTCAGTTTTTAAAAATTCATATTTATTTTTGATGAATATTTTACGTAAAAATATAAGTTCAAAAGCACTACTTACACGTGAAATGTAATGTCACTATGTTTCTTGTGTTTCTCTGATGTATTGTGACATCCGTTCACTGTACAAACCGTCATTTTAAAATTAAAATTATGAGAGCTGTTGTTAACACGATACGACACTGAGTACTAACGGGCCGAGTATTGAACTGAGCCATACTGGCTTAGTTTAAGTTGCCTCACATTACGGACGCGGACTCGGCTTCTAGGTGTTATTATTCTATGGTAATAGCACGCAGCGCTGTGGATCCAATTGTACAATTTCTCGGGAAGCCCATAGAAAGGAAGCTTCTTAAGAACCGCTTCGTGCTAAGCCCGATTGAAGGCCTTCGCTATGTCCAAACTAAAGGCCAATGCCTCCTCCTTGGACTCTACTACCTCCGCCCATTAATGAGTTAGGAAATCCTGAAGATCACCAGCCGAGCGACCGCGACGGAAACCGTACTGGCGGTCACTAATCAGCTGGTGATCATCAAGGTACCGCATGAGCTGGCTATATTGCGAGCCTTTTACGTGTAAAAACAAAGTCTAAATGAAAATTGTGTCTCATTTGACCCACCGAGAGACATGTTAAAAAACCGTCCATTACCGACTATTTAGAATAAATATGAGTAAATAAAATTGTATGTATAATATTTTAATAAATAAAATTTTAACGAATGTGTATTTGATGGTTTGTCCGTTTTTCACGATCCAGCGGGAAAAACTGACTTGCAACATTTCAACTATACGTAACAAGCCGGTAACATTCATTACTATGCGAATGACAGCACTGGTGATTTTTTTGTGCGAGCATGTATGCAGGTCAAGGGAAGGAGACCAGTATCACTGCGACCCAAAAGATCTATTGTGATCGCTGCTATGGCTATAGTTCACTACTAAGTCCTATGTCTTCACTGAATAAAAGGAGTTGCTTATCCGTGAGCAATTTCACTTCTTCTGGGCGGAGTACATAGTTTCCCAGATGAGTGCTACGTTTGCGCATTAAGGGTTTGCAATCAGTTAGGATGTGCAGAGGCGTTTCTTCCGTTATGGAACAGAACTGACACATCCTTGAATTGATTAGTCCCAGGATGGATATGTGCTTTTTAAGACAACAGTGTCGTTATGGCTCTTGCCAGAATGCGCAATTTATTTTTACTTAATCCTAGGGCTTCTGAAGCGAATTTACGATCAAAAGCCTGGATTAAGGTTTTAAAATGTTTTAAGCCTGGTGTGTCAGACCAGATCTTAAGAGATTTATTGTGAGAAGTTCAATCGGGCTAAGCTTCTTAAAATTCCACAAAATGGCTCCCGTGCAAGTTTGTCGGCAAAATCGTTGTCTACAATACCCGCGTGACCCGGAACCCATCTAAAAAGGACCCTGTTGTTACATCTCCGGCCGTTTAAATGGTTCATGCAGTCTCCAACTCCAGCTCGAATTCACTAAGTTTGACCTCAGCGCTAGCAGCTAGACTAACGCTTGACTCTAACAGCTAGCTTGACTATCAGAGTTTATATAAATTATATGGTTAACGTAGTGTTTTTGCAGCCTTAAGTATAAATAGAACTTTGACAATTCTCCATCGTTCTAGAATATATCACCATGCAAAACTTGCTCTGAAGATTTGCACCAAATAAGGAAGAAGGATGTCGATACCCCTCTGTAGTTGGATGGGAATTATTCCATCCTCCCCGCTTGTTTTAAATGGTTTAAAGGAGTCAACAGCCTTCTGCACTAGGTTTGGCCTTATTATCTTTGCAGCCTCCATACCAGTCCTCATTAGAGCCTTCGTAGGGCTCTGAAAGAGTTCAAGGCAGAAGTTTTATGTGACCCTGGGAAATGGATTGATGACTATTAACTCCAATGTTTCTGTTTCACTATTAGTGAAGTTACCATCAGGTTTTTTAAGAAGCCCGATCTTATTATGTTTAGACTTCGATAGCATTTTGTGTAGTCTTACACTGCGAGGCGAAGACTCAACTTCCTCGCATAGCTTCCACCACGATGCTCTCTTGGCTTTTTTAATTTCTTTATTATATACAGTTAGGACTGCACTATAAATATCCCACTCTTTGGTTTTCTTAGCCCTATTAAATAGTTTCCTGGTCTTTTCCCTAAGTTCTTTTAGCTTAGTATTCCACCAAGGAACTTTTTGTGCTGAGGTCTTGGTTTTGACGGGACAACTTTCCTTAAAGGCTTCACGGATACCTACGGTTACTGTCTCCGTCTTTAACTCCAGACCTTAAATCGTTTTGATGCTTTTAGGAAACGTTTCCAAATTCCTCAGGCTATCTCTGTAGATATCCCAGGAGTTTTCACTACTAACATGCCAGTCATTTATGTCTGGACATGTTATTGTTAGCAAAGATTATGTTTAATACTTCTTGCCTAGCACACGTAACGAAGGTTGGTGTACACCCTAAGTTTAGGCTTACCAGGCCATTGGAGATGAGAAAATCATAAAGTAACTCACCTCTTTCGTTGATGTTAGAGCTTCCCCAGACTGTGTGGTGAGCATTAACATCACAACCCACCACAAGTTCGGCTTGTGTTTTCGGGATAACTCCGCCACTCGCTCCAACTCGATGGTAGGATCTGAGTTCTCTCCAGGAAGATAGGCTGAACAAATTATTACTCTGGCCCCTGTGCAACCCTTAAGATTTATGAAGGCTGTAACCAGGTCATCATTGCAGTACTCTGGAACAGTCAAAAGTTCAATATTTTTTATTGTAAATTATACAAGATCTAAGTCTACTGCCTTTAGTATTGACAAGAATCTTACCGGCAGCCGACAATCTCAGAACTTGACCGTTGGCCACCCAAGGCTCTTGTATGAGGGCGAGGTCATTGTTGTCCTCTGCAAAGCAAACCTCCTCCATGGCAGAAGCAGCTGCTGCATGGTGGAGATTTGCCTGGAGGACCCTCGTCTTACCCTTGGGGTTAGCCGTTTACGGGCAAGGGGGGGCCGGAATCTTTTCCGCCTGCTGAGGACAAAAACGTCCTTTACCGGGGCTCTTGACCCTCGCCTTACCTTTCGCTGTACCGCTTCCACCTCCCCTCCCCCCACCCCTGGACGACAGCGGTGAAGACCATCGGACCGTGGCGAGATCAGCGCCTTGGGTCTTCGTCAACCTCTCACTGATGGCGTTCCAGTGTCACCATGAGAGTTGGACGGCTGGGGGGGGGTTGGAGTTGTGGTGGTTCAGGCTCCATTACGGCGTCAGAGCCTCCCTTGACCTCAAAAGTTATCATTTTAAAGCCAAGGACGGCGCTGCCGCCTGATTTACGAAGAGCCTCCACCGATGGGTCGTCCAAAATAAGGTTACTAAGAATACATTCTCCTCGTCCCTACGGTGGAGAATTTTCCAGAGCTAGGTATGGAGCCCTTCATTTTGTGCCCTCAACAGCACAGCCGCCTCCTCTGGATATTCAGCTTCGCTGCGAGGGAAATACGTGATGCCCAACTGAGGCTTAGGCAGTTCGCCCTCGGGTATTATTGAGAGCTCTGCCTCTGACCAGAATCATCCTGAGCACTCTTATCTATGAATTCGAGTAAACTTAGTGATTATATACTATTTGGTTCTAAGGGGTCCCATCTAAATATTACTATACTCTTTGGTGCGGTCTACAAGGTGACATTTTGAGAATCCGAACCGTAGACAGAGAAACCTCTAGACAAATTGACGCCTTCTTTCGCATTCGCACACGAAAAAGATAGATTTATGCATACGTCTTGCATAGAAATGAGATAGAGCGGTGTGATTGTTTGTCCCTTTCTCCGTGCCGGTTTTTTTGTTTAGTAAACTCCACAGTTTGCTAAACAACTTTGACAGCGTAGCGATTTAAGGAGTTTACAAGTTGGTTTAAATGAGAAAAAAAGTGTTTTTTGAGCTTAACATTGGTGAATCTTGTTCAGTTCAGTTCTTAGAACAATTAAAATTTTTATCTAAGTGTTTAAAAGTCATAAAGATTATTCTATAACCTAAAAATTCGTTATCGTTCTTTCTCACTTGAGGCCACGCCGATCATTAGTCTATAGTTTTCTCTGTCTACGATCCGAACGGATTCCTTGAGCTTTTACAGATTAATAACCCTATTACACCACCCTGAATCAGGGTCATAAATGAAGGGTGGGTGTGGCCCCTAATTAGGGACGTCAGTTATTACATTACCCTGATTTTACGCCCTTACTCAGTCATAGGGATGTACAAGTGAAAAAGTATATATATTTATTGAATCGATATTTTTAAAGTAATAAATAATAATAAAGTAACAAATCATTTACTGTTACTGTGTTTCGTCCTGCTAACTCTAGTTGCGTAACTCGAGTTTAGTTCGAGTTGTCTGAATTTGAACTTGAATTAACTCGAGTCGTAATTTTTCCAAGTAAACACATCAAACATACATATATACAGACATAGCTCATTAAAAACATCAAAGCTTATATACGATATATCGATTTTTTCGATGTTTTTTATCATCATTTAAATATACATATACATAAATACATATGGAATAAATAATCATTTTGAACAGAAATTAAACAAAGAAGTATAATAATCAAACATTATATTTATGTTATTTTAGGAAGTTTTACACTATATTTTACTAATTTAATTTTATCGAATCATTATCAGAAAACAAGAATTAATTAAATATTTTTTTACTTTGACGTTTATTTCTTTCGAATTGAATTTTTAAATAACAATTTTGACAACCTGGTGCCTAGTAAGTGGTTTCTCTACTGGGTGATTTTAGATCCAGCCTCTGAAAATAAGCGCTCACGGGATACCGAAGTTGCCACGATAGGCAAATAGATCTTAACTAGGCTATGAAGCCCGGAAAATAACCCTTTCATGATATCCCTCATGTAATATATGAAACTCGTTTTTTGCTTTCGTTTTATTTTTTATGATGTGGCGCGTTATGTTTTACGCTAGTTCCATGTGTTACCTTCAGTATTATCGCATTTTCTAAATACATCTACGTAACTATACCGAAATACAAACATGTGAATAACCGTTCATCCATAAAAATCAAAATTTCAGAAAAATCGTTGTAAAAAAAATACAATGTACCGTAAGCCGATAAAATAATTTCCATTACAAAATAACTATTAACTTATAAGACTGCACTTAAGCTATTCATTAAGTTAAAGCTCAAACAATATAATTATTAATAAGAAAATAAATAAAAAAAATTAATCCATTTTGGATATTTGTAAACTTATCTTAATTAATTATCACAATAAAAATAACTACAATTTTACACCGAAAATGGAATTACCGACAGAAGCCAATTGTCCTTCTGAAGTTCAAGTACATTTATTTTTAGCTGGAAGACCATTCGCCTGTTTGTTCATTCGTAATTAAAATTTTCGGGATTGAGTAATTTATATGTATAATATACTTGTAAACCTTCTTACTTTAATTATCTAACTTTGACATATTTCATTTTGAATATTTATTTTTTGGCAACATAAAATTCGTGATAATCATCGTTTGCAACTTTTAACATACGGAATTTTTTAACCTTTGCATAGTTGGTTATTTCGTAACCTTCGACGGCAAAACATCGTTCATAAAACATAGCTCATGAAGAACCATGTTTATGAACAATATATCGATGTTTGAAAGAATTGATGTATCGTTTGCATCCCTAGTCGCGCATCGAATAAGTGCCTTAACTCCCTTATAGTGTTATTACACTGCCTGGTGGAAGGGCTGTAGTGTTATGC